GATTTGGTATTATACTTAGGTCTACAAAATAGGCTTTTGGGACCATGTTTTTCATTACATGTATATTTTTGCTATCTGAATTTATACACAGTATAACAATTTCTTTTCTTAAATATTAAAGTTTTTGTGATAAGGCCTCCGGCTTCCCAGAGACAATGATAGATATCTAAATTCCCAAATCCTCATGGATCCCTATATAACCCTTTGAGATTAATAAAGGAGGGTTCAAATAAAAGTATCCATAAATCATCCCTATGGAATAACTAGAGGAAGACAACTTACAGACTTTTATTTACATGTAGGTGGGGAATTTGCTAATACCAGCAAAATTGGTTCAGAAGAGCACACTGCAATAGAGTCAAGCTGAAACTAAATGAAGAGGAGTACAGAAGTCTCCCTGGAGTGATGAAAAACTTATTAAACGGAGTTCCCCTTCAGCAGAAGTGGGCCTCACACTGAGTATGAAATCTCAAGAGCAGGTTTATAATATGAGCTCCAGTTTCTGGAGAGACAATAGAAGGGCTTAAAAAGTACACCAGACCCCAGATACCAAACTCTCTTACAATGGACAGTCAAGCAGGTTGGCATCAGACTAGTTGTCAGCAACAGTTCATGTAAAAAAAAAAGAATGAAACAATATCTATCAGATTCATGAGGCATAGAATATGGACCAAATACTAATGTCACATCTGCCTAGGCTGTCCTTCAAATGTCAAAGTGATATAAAAACATGTTAGACACGAGAGAACTCTGAAAATATTTTACCCACAAACCTCTTCCAAAGGGGAATACTTCATCTAAGAAGTTGTGTTTGGGAATCTCTGACAAAAAGACAGACATAAATATATTTTGCTAGAAATGTGAGGCCAAAAGAAAAGTAAGAAGTATATACACATTACCTACCTGACATGCTAGAAATACCATATCCCAACAAAATGGGAGGAAGAGGAGAAGAAAATAGATAAGCACACTGAGTGCCTTATTGGCAATAGATGGGAGTCAAGTGATGCTATTTAAACCGACAAACTGAATGGTCGGAGACTAAGGATACTCAGGAGCAAAACGATAAACCTTAAGAAATAGAATATTATTGATGAAAACTGCATGATGGGAAGAAGAGGAAAAGGATTATAAGCTATTAGGTTGGTGCAAAAGTAATTGCGGTTTTTGCCATAATAATTTTATTTTTGCTCAAAGTAAGGAACCAAAATATACTGCCTGAGGAAAAAAGGCAAGGGTCAAGGACAGTATACAATAATTTCTTATAAAGATAACTATTGGAATTGGAAAATTATATAAATTTTCCCAAACAACACAAAAACAAAACAGAATCAAACAACAACAACCAAAACCAGTTTTTAAAAGGGCAAAGAAAAGATAACATAATGAAATACTTTAAGAGAGTGTATTTAACATATAATATGTTAATATCAAGAAAACAAACACATCAATTGCATCAATAAATGTAAATATCTACTGTAGTAATAATCAATTAAAGTAGAGGTATTATTTTCTTATAAGCACTAAAGTAAAGCTTCACACTGTATAAAAACCACACACTATATAAAGAAGACACAACTAAAACAAAGACAAATGACAAAAAGATAACTTTAAAATACAGCAAAATAGAAAAAAGACTCAAGTGTCATGATTTAAGATACAGTAGAATTTAGATGGAAAATTAGTAACCATAAAGTCGACACTTTGTAATGCTAAATACTAATTTATACTAATAAAAATTATGACTGTGAAATATGACTATGAAATAAACAAGAGCAGCAATATTCATAAAACAGAAATTGTAAGAGATAGAATGAGAAATACCAAGAAATATCCCAACAGTAGAAGACTTTAATGTACTTTCTTAAATCCAAGACTTATCTGGAGGACAGGAAATAAGTAAGGATATAGAAGACAGCATAATAGTAGGTAGAGTTTTAAAAAGCAGATATCAACTTTTGTACCCTGATATTCTGTAATATCACTTTCTTTTCATATTCACATGACATACTAAAGAAAATTGATCAAATAATAAACCATGGGAAAATCTTAGACAATTACAAAAGGAGAAATAATACAAATAGCATTTTATGACTGTAAGACAATAAAACCAGAAGTCTTTTTAACAAAAAATGATACTTTAAAAACACTTTTCCTACTGGAAAACTAAAAGCTAACTATATTAAACAACTCAAGTTAAAAACCAGGAAAGCAAAAATTGCATATTTTCTGGAAAAATAATATTACATTTCTAAATTCAGAAGGTATAGCTTAAACAGTACTTAGATAAAAATATATAGCCTTAAAATCATAAACCAAAATACTGAAAGGATAAAAATAAATCAGTGCAATAAAAAAGAGATCACAAAGTAAGTTGATAAAAACTGAATTAAGAAATATAAAAGCAAAATTTTGTGAGTTTGAAAACTAATAGAATTAATAAACCAATAAACAGGTAGATTTTTAGAAAAAAAGCTACTGATTAATCAATAATTTTAAATAGACTAAACAATAGTAAAAGAAATGAGAAATTTCAATATAAATAACTACAGAAACAGGATTTTAAAAAAAATCATAAAATACTATCTTGCATAATTCTATTAAAATAAAATTTAAATATTTTCATGAAATAATTTCTAGGGAAATAATGTGTAGCAAAACTGACACTAGTTAAGATTGATAATTTGAGCTGACCATTATTAAAGAAGAAATAAATTTGTCAAGGAGCTACTTCACAAACAGGTACCACAAATAAGTACCTCGGTGAATTCACAGGGAAATCACACCTAACTTTTAAAGTCTAGATAATCCTCAAACTATTTAAATGTTTCAATAGTATACAAAAAGGAGAAGAAACTCCCAATTATTTTTTGAAGGAATTATAATATTGATACCAACACCTTAGAAAATTGCACACATACAGACAAAAATTACAAATCAATCTCCCTATTTGATATTGATGCAAACTGCCTAATGAATATGAGTTAAGAGAATCCAAAAACATACTACAAATTGAAATGTGTCATGTTCAAATGTGGCTTCTTCCAGGGATACAAGAATGGTTCATATTAGTAACTTTATTTATAAAATATATTTTAAAAATAAGGAAAATAATAACACACTCATTTCCACAGAGGCTAAAAAAGGCATTATACAAATTTCAGCACCTATTCTTAAAAAACTTGTCAGTGGAAACTTCCTTAAAATTTTAAAGCACATACAATTCAACTCACATGTCATCATTTCAATTAATGTGGAACATTTGAATTAAAGGCATTCATATGACAATCAGAGCTAAGGCATAATGTTCACTGTTGATTTCTTTTTAATGATACCTTGGAGAGATATACAAGAATTGAAAAGGAAATGTGAAACAATTTCTATTTTATGTGATAGAATACTTGAAAAATTCATAAAAGTCAGTGTATAAGTCACTGTAAACTAAGAATTCACTAAGATAGTTGGATGTAAAATTGATGTATTCAGAAAGAAAAGTTACATTTATAAGAAGATATAATGGGAAAAAGGGTCCAATTTATAATAGAAGCAATAACAAGTTAAATTCCAAGGAGCAAAGTAAACAAATGAGGAAAATTTTAAGGCATTCCTGAAAGACACAAAAATTAGACTTAGCAAATAAAAATACATACTATATTCTTGAATAGAATTACAACATTATAGAGACATCAATTATCTTCAAGTTAACTTATACATTTAATGTAAATCCAATGAAAATATTAAAGAATCTTTTATAGCTCTAGAAAAGTTGCTTCTAAAGATCACATGGAAAATTAATCAAAAAATAACCTCAACCTTCTGAAAATTAGTATCAAATAATAAGGGATAATGCAATATTAGTTATTTACTGTATATATGAACCATATGATTCTGAAGGATAAATAAACCAACAGAACAGAATAGAAAATCCAGAAATAGATTCAAGCACATATGGAAGTTTAGTGTATGATAAAGCTGGCATTTAAATTACTCATGAAAAAATAGACATTTTAATAAATAATGTTAGAACAATGAGCGAGCCGTTGGGAAAATGATAAATCAACTGTATACTCTGCACCATACATCAAAATAAGCTTACAATGGATCAAGGATCCTAAAGAATGAAATCATATAAGTTCCAGGAAAAGGAAGTGATTTATTTAGAATCTTGGAATGGTTAAAGCTTTTCTAATTATGTCTCAAAACTTTAGAAGCAACAAAGGAAAGAGTTATATATTTAGACACATTACCAAAAAACCCGTTAAATAACAAAATTTATGAAAAAGTTAAAAAGCACATTATTTTTTAGGTAAGTTATTTGCAGTCTACTTTCCACATTGATGAGATAGAGAAACTAAACAACTGAAATGTACATAAGAAATGGACATTTGATAAAGAAATGTCTATTGCACTTAAATATATGAGCCTTACTCATAGAATAAATATAAACTAAAACTAATTGAGGTACTACTTCCAACTTATGGTAATGACAATAGTCAAGAAAACTGATTCTGATTCACTCTGTTGGCATAGTTTTTGGGAAAAGGGCTAATTCATAGTTGGTGGTAACATAAAATGGTTGAAAGCATGTGAAGGAGAATTTGGCAGTATTTGAAAAGATTATATATACATCACCCTTGACCCAGGAATCCCACTTACATGACCCTGAAGATACATTTGCCCAATAATACACATATGCACATATGAAAATACATAAGTAGAATTTATTCTGGCATAATTTTAATAGCCAAAGTTTGAAAACAACCTAAATGTCCATCAGGGGTTAAATACATTATATGATATCCAAATTAAATGGCTTTCGGATCAGCCAATAAATTCTGAAAGGTACCAAAAGGTAACAGGAGCTCATGCTTTCTCATGTAAAATTATTTTACTTCTAATATAAAGATATTTTGAGAACCGAATTGAAATAAAGACTGAATTAAAATGACTATAGTAGTAGAATTATCAACAGTATTTAGTACGCATTGCCTTTTACTTACGGTTTACAGTTTTGACTGGTAAGATTGGGTTTACCCTCTGTGGAGAGGTAGCATTTTCATCATCCGTCACATATTCAAAATTAATGATGAACATCATAGCCACGCCCTCTTGGTTTTTCACTGGAATTATATGAGTGTTACAAATAAAAGTGGACCCTAAGGAGATGAAAAATGAATGCTAGTTAAAAATATGCCTTCATTTTGAACTATCAAGTCATATTAAAATTGAAATACGCTCCTAAGGAAATTTGTATCTTAAATGATCACTGGTATTAAAAAATAATTTCAACTTTTTTACTACATATTTTATTGTATACCATATTCTTTAAAATATATATGTTATTCTAGAAAAACATTACAGATAAAATCAGTTACTACATTGTGGAAAAACAGAAATATCAAATTCTCTTTGCTTTCACACCCATCCTTATAATAATTAATTTTTCAAAATATATATTCTTTAACTTTCTGGAAATAATTCTTATCATTTTCTTATACATTTTGATTAAATCAGAATCTCTATATAATATAGCTATATAAAAATAAAGATAACTCATGTCATATTGATTTTAACAAAAGCAACTTTTGTGCTTTTTCTCTTTTAATTTATTGCACATAAAATAGTAAATTATTGACTCATATATGTTACAGTAATTCTTTTCTTTTACATGCAAAATTCACAACATCCAAATTACAATGGTTTTGTTTGGTTTTTATTCTGTTAGAAAATAAGTACAAAGTTTTGTCTATCTTATTGTGTTAGTAATCTTGATGAGATGATATTCTTCAAGATGATATTCTTTTAAAAGCAAAATTACAGCTCTAGTAAGATATATTTCATTAGAATTATCTGAAAAATGAATAATCAAAGGGATGACTCAGTTTGCAATCAACCACCACCATCCATCTTCCAACAGAAACCCACAGGTCCAAGATTCAGAGCATACACTTGAAAAGTTTACTTCTATTAAATCAACTGACTTCTGACTGACTCCTTGGAGCTGACTTCTAGAATTCCCTCAAAGCGGTTTCCTCACAGTTTCACCCTGTGAATATGCTCTTTAGTCAAGATAATGGAAATTTCATAGTCTTGAAATTTATTTCAGTTTCAGCTATTTGAGTTAAAAATAAAATATTTTTAAAATAACAAAACTTCAGAAAGTGTTCTTAATCACTTACAAGCTTGTTCAACCCATGGCCTATGTGCCACATGTGGCCCAGGACAGCTTTGAATGTGGTCCAACACTACTTTGTAAACTTTCTTAAAATGTTGAGTTTTTTTGCAATTTATTTATTTATTTATTTAAGCTCATCAGCTATTGTTACTGTTAGTGTATTTTATGTGTGGCCCAAGACAATTCTTCTTCCAATGTGGCCCAGGGAAAGCAAAAGATCAGACCCTCCTGATTTAGGAAATAGTGTCTATTTTGACTGCTTTTGTTTTTCACAACTAGCTAAGACCACCTTGAATCTTTAGGAGAACGATGGTTCAATGTAGAGGTGGGAGCAGGTTGAGAGCAAGACTAGTCCGGCATGAAACTTGAGAAGGAAATGTGAGCAAGTGTCAGGACCCCTGGAAGCTAGAGACAGGGGCCGGGCAAATAGCTGAATGGTTTTGGGAGCCCTAATATCTGCAAAGGCCAGTAGATGTGAGTATTCCCAAATGGTGACCTATGTAAGCTCTACTACAGTAAGCATAAGAAAACTATTTCCTTTCTTCTTATCCTGCATCTTGGCTTCTGCTGCTAGAGCTGAGAACAAAAGCTATAATGGATATTGCTGTAGATTGAGGACTTCACAGGAAAGGGGTTTTGAGGGTGGACCTGCAGATCTAACAATGATTTGTAAAATTGTTTCTTTCTTTTTTTTTTTTTTTTTTTTGAGATGGAGTTTCGCTCCTGTTACCCAGGCTGGAGTGCAATGGCGCGATCTCGGCTCACCGCAACCTCCGCCTCCTGGGTTCAGGCAATTCTCCTGCCTCAGCCTCCTGAGTAGCTGGGATTACAGGCACGCGCCACCATGCCCAGCTAATTTTTTGTAGTTTTAGTAGAGGCGGGGTTTCACCATGTTGACCAGGATGGTCTCGATCTCTTGACCTCGTGATCCACCCGCCTCGGCCTCCCAAAGTGCTGGGATTACAGGCGTGAGCCACCGCGCCCGGCCAAAATTTCCAAGGAACTGATCAACAAATATGCTTTTAGAAAGACTTTTTCTAAGTTGGGAATGCCTATGTGCTACTTATCATTCAGATATGCCAGTTATAATACAAATGTGGACAGCCTCTCAAATTCGAAATGTTGATAACTTTATAACTAACTTCATATTTTCTATAAATGTGGCAATGGTTTTACAGATGTTGGAAAATATGCCTTAGGAATAGCATGCTGCATCTTCAGTCTTCAGCTATGTCTCCAATTCATTTAATAAAATAGTTAGCTTGAGCACTTGTCATAGTTTCCATGGTAACAAACCGGATGACTTTAGTAAACAGAAAATAAACAATTTAAGGCTGTTCCATTAGAACTAAAAATAGAAGTGCTTCAGGCCAGGCATCACAGTACACACGTTAAACAGAGTCTGAGGAGATGCTAGAAATAGTCATTATGTACTTTTCTAATGAACCAAAATACACATTGATTTTACCATTTAAAATGACATTTCCTGGATCATTTAGAATATCATTGTGAGTTCACACATTTGTTATTTAGGCAGTTTGAAATTTTTCAACATGTGGGGTATACTGTTGACTATAAAAAATATAATTTTTTTTTGAGAAATCCAGAAATAAAATATGTGGGGATAGCAATCTAATAGTTTTGTAATAGAGCAATTTCGCTTTTGGTAATAAGGGATAAAATCATATTTTTCAATACAAGTGTTTGTAAATTTACGTCTCATACTAAAAATGGTAAAATTATAGTGCTTTATTTAAAAGTTTGGCTATCTTCATTGGCTCTACAGCACATTAAATGAATGTAATTAATCTGGGATTTACTGCCCACTATCATTGTTTCCCATACATTTCTATTAAGCAATATATTTCCTCTAACGTCAACTGAAGACTCACATTCACATGCTTTTCTCTTTTAGTTTGGGGATTTAATATCTCCATCAATTTTGCATAGGCTCCTGGAAGGCAGACAGTGAAAGGAGATACATGCAATTTAGAGGAGGAGAAGAATAGAATACGTTTTATAGAACAAAAATATTTTAGCTTGGATAATTCTACAAACTCCAACCAAGTTCTGTCAAGATACTACTTTTTTCAAGTGACATTGCCCTAAGAAGTCATCACTCTGTGCTCCCAAATATTTTTCTTGAATGCAACACTGGGAGCAAAAGCAATGGAAACCTAATCCAGCAAACACTAACCAAGCAATGAAAAACCTTATCACAGAGAAGTTTCTTAACTAAGTAGCAGAACTAAGGTTTGAACTTAGACTTGTTCTGTGTTCACTTTTTCCCTTGCATTAATGTTACCCAAAGAGTGAGATGTTAATGGATGTTACTGGAAGGGGCTTGCTATAATTAATCCAATTTAGGAAATATCCTTCTCTAGGAGATGCTCTGTGTACATGAGTGTAATAGAAGTTCTGAGAAATTCTGCAAAAACAAGCAAATATATATTTTGTCCAATGCAGCATTTTCTAAGTTTACTTGACTCCGAAGTCCTGCTTTAGAGAAGTCTGTGATAACATCTAGCTCCTTGGAATGTCATTGGGAAACACTGAATTGTGTCCTGCCCCTTCCCTGTTTCAAAGATACCTTCTGAGAGGGAGGAATGTAAATATCATAGGTCACTCAAGTCACCAAGGAGAGGGAGTAACTACAGAGACAAAGGGCTGGGCCAGGAGAGGAAAGGGAATGCCAAAGGCCACTGTCACCTATTCGATATATTTTCCTTGATATTGGCTCTGGTCTGAGATCCTAGGAATCCAGTTAAAATAGCATTATCATATTTGATTACATATCTTCAAGCAGTGATTTCCTCATAAGCTTGTTCTAAGTTAAAAGGTTATTGCTAAATAAAATATGATAGAGCTTTTCACATCCCAAGACCAATTCATACTGCTTGACAGAGATCAGGTTTTATAACATAAAAGACCTAATTCAACAATCCATTAATATTCTGCACCAGAAATTTTATGAGATAACTCTGACATATCCAAGGAAATATTTTTGGCTGTGTTTCCTCAGGAGTTGTTCCCCTTCCTTTTCAAAATATGGATATATGTGACTTTCTAATTAATTGCTGACTATCACCCCTTTTCATTGATGCATTCTCTTAACATTATGCTCAGGTGTTAAGATCTTTTCATACTTATAAATTTGATTGTTGAGAAAAGCAAAGTCAGCTCTTTTTTATATTTGACAAACAGTGGATAAATTATTTGGTGATTTAGGAAGAACCCTCACACATTTTCTGACACGTAAATCAGAACCCGGCTCTTAAGATGCCCTATGGTGCTTACCCACTTCTCAGCTCTGGTTCCAATTTAATTTTGGAGCTTTGTGGATTTAATTAGTGTACTGGGAAATATGAGTGTTAAAACAAGCTGAGGCTGATTTACAGTGTTGCACTCAGTCTCCAGGCAAACCAACTCTACATTTATGATTAGGAAGTTTAGACACGTTTATGATAATTTTTAATTCTTTTTGTCTTTTTTTTATACCCAAGCAAATATTTAATTATTTGGTCCAATGTTTTTCACCAGATATATTTATGTTATCAAGCCTCAAAGGTATTTACTGCAGGTCCACCCCACTAAGCTGCTATTTGTTTAGTCAAGTTGCTTTAACACAATACTGAATTTTCTGGGCTTACTTAGAATATGAGCAAATCTGCATATTGCCATAGTAAGTGCACATGATTGCCAAGGTCAAGCCACACTGAGAATCCTGGGGACAGCCACATCCTGTGTGGATGTCATTTCTAACTGAGATCACGAATGGCGATATGCCTGGTGTGCTCATGATGTCCCTGTGACTGTCAAAAGGAACCATACATTATGTTCTATGTTTATAGCTTTGGAGCCTATTTTATAGCTTAGAATGAGTAAAATATATTGTAGATGAACAAAATTTAACAAAAATGGGTAAGGCACCTACTGTGTACAAGGTACTATAGTAGAAATTGTAGGAGTTACAAACATAAC